TGGAACCAGCTGTCGCCCTCCCGCAATTTGGGAAGAGGGGCGGTGGGGGATACGGCGAATTCCTCCAGATCCGTTTCTGAGATGCCAGAGCCCGCGTTCCGAGAGAGGGCCGGGGCTCTGCCAAGCCTTTCCCCGTATCCGTGCGGGAGCAGGCGGGCTTCGCATCGGCAAAGAGTTTCAAACTTGTTTAAAACCTCCGAGATTCGGAGCTGTCGCCCTCCCGCAATTTGGGAAGAGGGGCGGTGGGGGATACGGCGAATTCCTCCAGATCCGTTTCTGAGATGCCAGAGCCCGCGTTCCGAGAGAGGGCCGGGGCTCTGCCAAGCCTTTCCCCGTATCCGTGCGGGAGCAGGCGGGCTTCGCATCGGCAAAGAGTTTCAAACTTGTTTAAAACCTCCGAGATTCGGAGCTGGGTTTTTCAGTTTTCTTTTCCCCAAAGACTCCGGAGTTGACGTTCCGTAAACCCCCATCCCATCCTAAGCTCTGACTCCCAAGGACTATTAGCGTTTACCTTAAAATGTTTTTAATGAGGAGAGCGCGTCGCTGAGACGTCGTCCTCCACCGTTAGGCTGAAGCTTTACGGAGGCGCGATCCCAAGGGTTTTGCGCTTGGACGCCAAGGTCATTGTGGGAAGATTGGGGCAATCCCGCTCTCCTCTCATCTCCCTTCTGCCCTCCATATTAAAAAAATTAAATAGCCAATTATTTTTCCGTGCTTGGCTCTGCCACCGGGCCTGGGACCCCTTGCTGAACTAAACGGGAACGACGGTGACACGGGCGAGAGCCGAGCGCCGGCAGGCGAGCGGCAGCGTTTCGTCCTCCCCGTGATGAAGAGGAGGAGGAAAACACCTTTTTTTTTTTTCCCGGCGTCGCCGCTGGCTTACTGACCTCATGAAAAGGGACCCCGGCGCCGTCGGGGGACCCGCTCGAGGCGGGTGGCTCGATGTCTTGATGCTGTCTCTCCCCCCTCGCAGCGCGTGGTTTTCTGCCAGCTGAAGGAAGCCCTGGCCGTCGACTGGAGCGGGGAGAAGGCGAAGGCGACGTCAAAACGCACCACCCCGGATTATTTCCTCCTCCAAGGTAAATCCTTTCCTCCTCTTAAT